GCTCCTTTCGCAGAACTTCGTTCAAGTCGTTCTGACGTTTCCATCAAAGAACTCACCCCCTCGAACAATGCGTGCTAATTAAGGAAAGGGCAATTATGAAAGTCGTTTCCTTCCCTTATTCCCATCGGTCTGATATACAAGGTGTTTCGTATGAAAACAAGAAATTCCCTTCGAATCTAACGGGACCGTATTTTACAAAGAAACAGAAATCGTAAAATCGAACAACTTCCGGACGGAGAAGCGAGTTCGATGAAAGAATTACAAGGAATAACCGGGAAAAGAAAGTGGAAGCTGTGTCGTTTGAGAAATTGGAAAGGCTGGGAATGGCGATGCAGTTAAAGCCCGCTCGAATTTATCGCTTACCTTTACCTTCGCTCAATAATTCCTCCACCTTTATGGCTTGGCTTACGGTCGCCATTTTTTGTTTTTGTTTAGAAAAATAACGAGCAACTACGATCGATGGCTGTAAACCAACTTCCACTCGGACCTTTCGTCCTCGGATTTTTCCACTAATATTTTCTTCTCTCATCATCAATATTTTCACGATTTCTATCTCACCCGGTATATTCAGATATACAATTAAAGGAACACTTGCCGTCAGCTTTCTGGCAAGTTGGAAGAGCTAGATTTCTTTCTTACAGCACACCGTCCAAAGGACTCTAATCCCCTGGCGATCGCTCGTCATTATTCTCGTTGCGTAACTATTATGTTTCCCGTCGCGTGCGTTTTATTTCCCTTCATACTTTAGACTTGCTCGCAACAAGCCCCGTACAATCTAACGCAGAGGGCAACGTCTACCACGAAGAAGAATACGACAACGGGGCGACTTGTGTGTGCAGCAGGGAATACTAGAAGGGATTTAGTAAAGTCCGGCCATAAAGAGTAAATTACGATGTCGGTCTCGCTTCACAGTTTTACGCCGTGCCGTTGTCGTTGTCGTTGTTGTTGTTCTCCTACCATGTATTCTCCGCCATTGTGAACCTGCCACCCACTTTCTGACGCACAAATAAACTGAACCAAGCTTTGGGATATTGTGCAGACCACACGTTCCTACCAAAGAATTTGCTTTTCATCACCCCTTTCCAACAATTTTCCAAATAAACTGGCGAAGCAGTTTAAATACGCTAAAGAGAGGAACAGTTGGTTTCGCCAATCTTCTCGATACTCAGTTATACTTGACTTACGTCTGGGATCCATAGTTTCTTATTTATTAACAAATTGAACGTTCTTTTTGAAAGAAACAACTTGGCTGAAAGGAAAGGTAATTAATCAGCGATATACAGCTACTCTGTTTCCATTTAATCAGCCCTGGGCCCTTCGCAAGTCTTTCACTTGCTAAGGTTTATACAGAGAGCCAGTACCGACAATTAATAAACGAAAGGTAAAGAAGCAGTATTTCTTCGAGTCGAAGATATAAAGCGCAGAAGAGACGCAGAAAAGGGGTGGATATTAAAGGAATGAATATTAATTCTCCGCGATCCATTGTGCCGAGAAAGTTGTAATTCGAAGAATTTGCCGGCTACAAGAGGGTGGCATTGGGTCCATTGAAAATCCATTTAAACACTTTCGACGGTAATTTCCCGTCGACTGGTACGTTCGCATTAAACGAACTTCCCGTTAAATGACATGCTCGTTCAGCCAGAACAAAGTAGACAGCCAAGCACATTGTGCGAAATTGGTATCACGTGTAGAGATAACGATTATAATGTCAACGTAACCAATAACGAACCTAGGAAACACGAGTACCCTTTTGTTCTAGCACACGCGTTCTGTCATCAAATCCATCAACGAGTCCATTCAACCTTTCTTTTATGGAAAAACAAAGCCGTGGTGTAAAATACCATTTTTCCCCCATACGATGTTATTAACTATGTTTTCGGCCAGATATAATAATTAGCACACCATAGAAATCCCCGAAAAATAAAGGGCATAAAAAGCTTCGCGTTCGAGGCTAGTTATCTTATCGTTAGCTAAGTGTCGTTGCCGGTATTGTAATTAAAAATGTGATTTCGTGGCCCATGTCGCGGTGAATACATCGGGCCGAGAGGTAAAAAAAAAAGAGGACTCGTGTAGCATTAACGAAGTGTTGGCGAGAGAAGTGGGTCACACCTGACTCTGCCTCGTCGCCTGGAAAGCTGCGTGCCCATGCAAATGCACCCACTCTTTTTCTGTCGTTTTCAGTTTCACTCGAGCGTGTACAGTTTATAAAAGGCACTCGGTGACTCGCTCTGTTTAAGCTCGAACGACGACTGGACCCGATACCTCCGCAGGGAGGGTATGTCGAGAAAGGAAATTGTTGAAATTTCAACTGGTCAGAAATAGTTGAGGGAACGACGTATGATAAACGAGAGACATGAAAAAAAGAATAATTGGAAACATTTCACTTCGACTCTAGAATTCATGTTCCCGTGGAACATTATGAATTTTCCGTGAAATCCGCGAGCAATTAAAGGCACGAGTTTTTGTTTTCCTCGACGCATTCCCGCGCGACGAAGCGGTCGTTATTGCCGTTTAATCGCGATTAGAGGGATAACCGGAAATACGTTTAATATTTCGCGGGTAATGATCGTTCGTAAGCGAAACGGTGTTTTAATCGCGAGACGGTGCGGCAAACCGGTATTACTCCCGGGAAAATGAACGATAACAACAAGGAACTTCCACGAAATCGCATTTAAAGCGCACGCTTTCTGGAGAGTGCAAAACGAATTAGCAGAAAGCGCGGCGGCGCTGCGACCGTCGCTGCATTTGCATATCTTCTACGGTTTTCCTGTCGTCGTCTCGTGAACCAGAAGAAGACGTAGCTTCCGGCCCGCGTGCCTCTCGTTCGTTGGCTTATCTGTACCCCAGCTGGCAATGAAAGAACTCCTTGAACGTCTCGATTCAGAGAAGTAAGAATTTTCTTCGCGAGGAAATATCAAGGAAAATCTTATTCGACTTTCCCCTTGAATTTCATTTCTCTACCAAAAGTGTCTTCGTTTCTTTTTTTCTTTTTTTTTTTTTTTTTATTTCTTTAAAGACGAACAGAGAGGTTTCTCGAGTTTCGTGTAGGAAAATTTTGAGCCACCTTTGAAAGAATATTTCCATCTTCGGATTTAATCGAAAGCGTACTTGAGCTTTCCGCGTGTCTCAAGAGAATTGTCCCGTTTCGCTGTGTAATATTTAACGATGCTGCTGAGCTGAACTGAAAAGCATTCCTCGAATACTTCTTCTCGATTGTGGAAGTCTGTTTTCTGTGAATCGAAATTGCATAAAGGTGTCTCGTTCCTCTTGTTTATTGCGAAAATACTTGAAATTGTCATTCACACTGTCGGTGATAAATACATTTAGATTTAGCATAGTTGCATTGAAGATTTTTGAATTCCAACGTCGGGTAATAATGATAATATGTATGCTCTAGTACGAGAAAACATTCTCAGGAAACAATTCAAGCGATTCTCCGAGGTTCTCGCGGTTCTGCTCGAAGGATTTCACAGGGCAACGTTCTAACTGCACATGAAAACACGAGGAACCAGGAACCAGCTTATTTGCATGTCCCTGGTACATCCTGGTGCGTTGCACCGCGAAAACACGACATCGTATCTTCTACGTAATGCTTGCACACGTATACAAAGCCGGAAGACGAAACGGGCGTAGAAGGAAGTCTCGGAATTCAACGACCAACATTTGATGCGTACAGAAGACTTCGAAATCAACCACATCCCTTTTTTAAACAATTTTTTCAAAAATGCCATTCACACAAACTAGATGCATGAAGTTCTGCTTAAAACAAATGGAAGTTCGAAATAAAAGAACAAAAGGAATTGACATTTTTATGAAAACTCGTATTTCTTTGGAAACGTCGCGACACGATAACTACTCTTTGCTTTTCTCGATCATTAATTCACAAATGAATTTTCAACGAGTCGTGTAAAAAGCTGTCGTTTCGCGTGGATCGTTAACAAACGAACGATCGAATGATTGTTTAAACAAAACGCTTTTCTGAGCGTTCCTTTCGAATACGGAATCGCAGCCATGGTATTTTCATAAAGTATTCCGGAACACGACGCGGAGCGGCGCGGTGCGGGCATTTACTTCGCTCGTTGTATATCATGGCTGGATAAAAGTTTCCGTTGTTTATTGCTGAAAAATACGCTCGGTTCGTAGCGTGTTCGCGTCGACGAAGAAACAAAACGAAACAAAAAGAGGAGGGAATTAGTAAAATGTGGTTATAGTTAGAGGATTTCCGCGATGCGCGTGAAACATCGCGTTTCCCAGACGTCCTGGCGCATTATTCATCGCCAGCTCGCACCCTTATATATCATTCCCAACTTTCGACCAACCTGATTCCTACTCGATTCTTTGAACCATATTTAAAAATATTGCCTCAATTGTACTGTTCAGAAGAATCTTAATAAACGATTAAGAAACAAAGGTATCGAGAGACAGTGTAACAATTTGAACGCCACAGTGGCCTTTGATCGAAATATTTTAGCTGATTCTAATTTCCTCGAGGGAAATCGAACGATCGAGCGTTTTCAGGTGCACCGAAAGCCCCGACGGAATCTCGGAATTGCTCCTTCATCTCTGCCTCGACTAGGGCGTCGCGACGCCGCGGCGAGCCGCGCCGGTGCAAGGCTATCTAAAATTCATGAATCAAACGGCAATGGGACACGTCCGTTTAAAATTCCAATCGTATCCAAAATAAATAATCGGGTACGGGTTTCAGCGAGCCGCGTATTTATGCAAGTTTAATTAAAAAAAGTACGCCGTGGTTCAACGAAATTGCTTCCGATACTGCAAATATTTAGAATGTTTTTTTTTATCCGACCACTATATTTCATTGCAAAAATATTTCAAATCGTTCATTTGATAAATTGCTCATTCAACTGTTTGCAAGCCGAATTATTCATTTTTCCTCTGATCCGTTCCGTTTTAATATTCTAGTATTAAAATGTTTCTAAAAGCTAGTTTATCCACAGTTTCGACTAGTGAAAATTTTTTAAAAATATCAAATAATTTACCGTTTCTGAAACAGGATATCCGTCGACTCCTCTCGGCAGAAGGTGGGGGATGGAGTAATTGCTTCTCATCAAATTGTAATGGAAAAAAGAGAAAGCAGCCCGGCGAAGTGTAACCCAAGGGTGACTCGTTAAGCTGAAAATTATCACATAATTAATATGCGGTTCGTCGCCTTCCTCTCTCTCTCCTTCAAGCCCTTACGCGAACCTTCACGTTCGCCTCGGTAAACCAAGTCAATACATAACGCAATTACCTGACAAGTAGATGGAGGATGCCTCTGGCGGTGCATCAACGCAAGCGTTAACGCACCCCTATTGCACGTGCAGTTGAATCTACAACATCCACATGCAGCTGCACCCGTGCACCTGCAGAATCGAGGATCTTGTCTTGCACCAGGTTAAAGGGTTGTAAAGTCGATGAATCCATGGAACACAGATCGGTAACGATGTGATAGAAATCAGGCTTTTGAGAATTTTCTATAATTACTTTAATAATAGTCAACAAGTTTAATGAATACCGTCGATAAAATGATGCAAAATTTTGATGACTGTAGTTGATATCGATTGAAGAGGCCGTGTTACAGGGGGTTGGAAAACAGGGATGCGACTCTGATGCTGAATGGATACACTCGAGTCGAGGATTTGATGAAGAATCGTTCAAAGTTTGGTAGTTGTTCGGGGTCGGTGTTTTTTTTTTCTTTTCAAGCACGCAATTAAAGTAATCGAGAGGTCTCGTTATTTCCACTATGTGCAACTTGGAATTCTCTCGTGGAAATTGTTTACTTTGCTTCAAGTGGCGGAACGTCACAGAACAGCGCTATTTCCCTCGATCACGACCACTTCCGACATCTTGTTCAACCATCGACTGATGAAATTTCATTTCCCGCGATCGTAGCAACCTGAAAAAGCAATTAAAACTTGTTATTTTCAATTGTACTGTTTATCGAACAAAAAGTAAACCATTCACTTAACTGATCGTTAGAATTTCCATTCTTGTATTTGTTACAGCAAATAATCACACGGTATCAAAGAAGAAATATTGAAAATTCCGTGCAAATTTTTCAAAGTTTTCCATTTCTGTGTGTGGAAAATTAAGCTTTACTCATGTGGATGCTCATCAAACTTCTTTGTAGTACACAGAATTTCATATCGCGTGCATGAAATGAAATTTTACTCAAACCTGATAAACCTCAGCGAAATTGGCTACAGCAACTCGTGTACACAGTGTCTCCAATTTAAGCGATCAACCTTCATCGGTGCCTATCTTCTATGAGAAAGAATAAAAAAAAAACCTTGTCCAATGAAACGTTTTCGGTGGATCTCGCACGGTTAATATCAAATTTTTTATAAAAACAGAATTTTCCATCCTTCTTTGACGCGCGATCAAACGCGTTTACATTTTTTATCAAAACTATGGAAGTTTTCATTAAAAGCATTCCATCCAGTATTGAAATTTTTCACATCTTTGATCCGTTCGTGTTATTGAAACTTCCTCCGTGTGCTGTTCTATTATTGAATAATTTCTCTGCTTATGGTAAATGAAAAAAAATTCTAATTTAAGGTTCTCCAGGTTTCCTCTCTCAATGGTAGATTAATAAACATCATCCAATGCAAGTAATTTCGCTTCCAGGATGCAGTGTGTATCGCTAGAATCGTCGAATTGGAGGAAATTTGCGTGTTTCTCGTCCAAGCATGTCCGTTGCCATTCGGAAGATTCACAGAGTCGAGCTATCGGCTCCTTACATTCATAATGCATCGCACGTGCATCGAGTCAATGCGATTACACGGTTGAGCGGAGTTAAACACGCTCCTCGGGCCAAGCTTCGGATGACGTTTACGCATGGTCGCGTCCCGGCTTGTACGGATCCTGTCTCGAACCTATTTCCGCTCCTTTATTTTCAGCGTTACGATTTTCTATAAATATTAACCGAGTAATTTCATTCTGAATTACGCTAACCCGTCAACAAGAAGATGTGTTAATTACCAGGGAGTGGTGAGATGCAAGTCTAACAATCTTCTAATACGAGGGATCGATGCATCGTCAAGTTAGCCTCCTGAAACTTCGCTAGGATACACAGGATGTGTACGCAGCAGAAGCACCCTGTCCGGGCATATCCTGGCCGATATCGCCTTCCTGTGGGAGTACACACACGTTTTGGCAACACGGTTACGCGGATCACTAAAGTTCGACATGCTGCTCGCATAACTAGAGGCCGATAGAAAAGCAGGCTTGAATTTTCCGCCCGTATCGAGCAACGATTGACAGGAAACCGTATTCTAATTACGCGAAGTCTTTCGCGTTCAAATTCTACGAATGGAAACGTTATTTGCCACGAGTTGTTGGGGTACAGGATGAAAACCGAAAAAGAAACTATTCTGAAAAAGCACGTAGTAGAGCAGGAAAAAGGAAGTTTGTTTAATTAGAAAGAAGGCTAGGTATACACCGATGGTAGTATGCCGAATGCATAATTAAGTCGTGCTTCAGCTTCAGCTTCAGCTTCCGACTATTTAGGTCTACGTTTACGAATAATCTGAGGAAAGTTTGTAACTTTTGACTTGGTGAGGGAAATTTGAGAAACACCAGGTCAATTTTAATCAGAATCTCTAGGTTTAAGTCGTGGATATTTGCAAGAATTATTATTCTGAGAAAAGGCTAGCTTGCTCGGTAGTGTACATACACGTCTGTCATTTCGACATAAACGAAGCAGCGAAACGTTCTCGTTTCACGTATCGTATAGATGACGAAATGGATACGGAAACACGTAGCTAGAACGAAACTTTTGATCAGTCGTGTGTGCAGCTGGATGATGGCTGGCGAGACGATAGCCGGAGGAATCCACGAATTTTATATAGTCCAGGATGCGCAAGGAAGAGAAGAGAGTGGAGCGGGGAAAAACGCCAGAGGGCTTCCATGCCAGCCCTGGGATTATAATAATTCGCGTCACTGCATCCAATTTCAATTTACCTTTGGCTGGCTTGAACGCGTCGCCATGCCAGGGAGCCGAGACTACTTCGTTAACCGGACCTCCGTGCTCCGCGTCTCGGATCAACGTTTCTTTCTTTCTTTTCTTTTTTCTTTTTTCTTTTTTCTTTTTTCTTTTTTTTTCATTCATAAGTAGCTGCGCCATTTGGCTTCCGCGTGAAAATTTCCTGCTGAAAAATATGAAAGGGATGACTTCTTTAAAGATCATAAGTATTTCTTAAGTAGATCTTGGATAAACCTGTTTATGGAAGCGAATTTAGATATTCGACGAAGGGTTAATAGCTTTGTCGACGTCAGCTCGCTGCAATATCCGTCGAAGGAAATATTAAACGAGCCATTTTCCGCGTACCCTCGAGTTCGCAGCTTGACGAGCCGATTAATAGCGGAAACAATATCCGATCTCGATTCACCGTCTGCAAAATAACGAAGAGCCTGCGGAAAAGGGAAAAATGGTGAACGAGTGAAGTAAAAGGGACGAAGGAGAGACAGATCGGAGGATACAGGGTGAAAGAGAGAAATGTAACGAGTTAGAGGGCGAAGAGCAGGAAAGGAGACGGTGAAATACCACGGTGAAGCAACGTGTGCAGGCAGTGATTTGCGGCTGGTCCTTCGGGTATTTCCATGGCCCCCGACAAAATAAATTGTTGTTTCCTCTTGAGAATTCGAGGAGGACGAATCCGGTACCCGCGAATGCCCCGAACAATATCGTTTGTACCTTCGAGCTAAAGGGGTGCTGCTTCTCTTCTCCCCCTTACTTCTTCCCTTTTCTTCTCTTTCCACATATTTCTCTCCGTCTCTGTTTCTGTCTCTCTTCAAACGTCCAAGACTAAAATTTATGATACGTCGCGCATTTATATTCCCACACCTTCCATAAATTTTACTTTACGCGCATGTAAGTGGCTCCACTTTTGTTCATAGATATCTACGACTGTCAGATTTATGTCCGCGTACGTGCCACGATTCGATGCCCGAGACACGGTAGAGGCGGGCACGGAAATGGAAGGATACTGTCCTGTTATCGAGTGATAAAGCTACCGAATCGTCTCGATTATACCGTATCGAGAACCCTGATTCAGACTGGGACTCAGCATTTCCATGCTGTTGCTCTATTTTTACCATTGTACCCTTTTGCGTCTTTCCTACGTCAAATTTCAGATAAAATAAATCGAGAAAATTTGTTATTAAGAATAGATACAAGTATTTCCGTTGGACAGCAAAATAACATTGTTTCAATCTTACAGAAGCTATAATAGATTTCTTTTTTTATATACACCCAATACCTCTTTTGACAAGGTTTTCGTTTGTAATTAAAATGTTGTACCTATTTAATTTGTATAGCAATAGCAGAGCAAATTACAATATTCTAGAATAAATAATCTGATAAATTAAAACCAGTGTGGAAACTTCACTTTGATGCGGTTTTTTAAATTTGAATTTAATATGCGCTTTGTGAATAGTCACACTAACGTCATCTGGCAATGAATCTTGTAATTAACGAAATGGAAAATTAATTTTTTTTGAGAAAAATCGGTAATTTTTTGACTTCTTAGGACCATAGAGAAGGTATAAGATAAAATGATCTATTATGCAATGCAAATTTTTGTCCCAACTTCCGAGGGTATGTAGTCCCTTTACCATTTTAAGGTCACATTCTCTTCCACCATCTACCATCAGAGCTACTATCGGATTTGGCTGAAAATTTTGCAAATAGCTTCATTTTATGTATAAAAGCAATATTTGCAAGAAGAAATTTTGGCAATTTGAAAGTTAAGATTAATATTTTTCAGTAAGATAAGTGGATGTTTCGAAAGATCACACATATGACATGACCAGGGCAGCACAATCGATTTAGCTGCTGCGTCTATCTGTTTGCCCTAACCTCAGATAAACGCATGAACGGTGCGCGTGTGAAACAGCTTAGGATATTACAATTTCACGTTGAAAAAAGGAAATGAGCGATGCCGAACTACAGGAGGAGGAAAGAGAAGTACTACTTTCGATATACGATGGAGATTCGGCTTTTAAACAGTTGACACCTACCACTTTTCAGTATAAGGTTTGTACTGGAACAGAATTCTTTAAAATGTACCTTATGATATCGAGTAATAATGATTTAACTTAAAGGTCCTCAATTCTAGGTATAATTCAATTATATTTGTTCAACTCATGTTACATTTACATTGTAATATAACATGTATAATGATACTTTTATATACAGTTTGGAGAGGACAATGATGCCAAATCATTTCTGTTGGAGATCTCATGGGGCACAACCTATCCGTCAGAGAAGCCTATTATTAATATGAATACCTTTTATAACAAACACATGTAAGTCCAACCATGTTGTTCTGTGACTACTCTTGCATTCTGTTGCTTTTATTAAAGGTGAATGATTGGAATACAGTGTGCAAGATGTAAAAGACAAAGTGGCGAAGCTTGTAGAAGAAGAGGCAGAGCAATGGCTGGGAAGTGCTATGACATACACATTGTTCCAGTCTGTCCAAGAACATTATGCTGAATTGGTCTCTGAGCAACCAGAGGCTGTAGTTGATATCAATACACAAACTAGCCAGCTTAAAATAACCGATGATAGTCAACAGGTAAGAACTAATTGCATTAAGTTGGAAATTATTTATTTGAAGTATTATGAACGAATTAATTGATCTTTTATGTAAAGGGTGAAGAAACAACAAAAAAACCAAAGAAGGAACACTTGACTAAAGCTCAGAAACGTAGACAGTGGAACAAAACAGATGGAAAGGGAGAAAAACCACGCGGATGGGACTGGGTGGACATAGTGAAACACTTATCACAGACTGGCCCCAAACAAGAACAAGAGTCTTAGTTCAGCTGCTTTGAAATATTTGTACAGGTTAAAGGCGTGTTATATTTTTATAAATTATCGGAAATAAACTGATTTCCATATCGATTTCACTATACTATAATTACCTGTGATAAAAATTTATAAGAAAATATTTATAGATCATTTTATCTCATTGCCAACAGATAATTACAAGATATGCAAATAAAATCATTTGAATTATAAAATTTTATCAAGATAAATAATATCGAGGAAAGAGCAACAATTATTTAATATTTAATGTTTATGCTTTTGCTTTTACCATTTTTTTCGATTTTTATAAAAATCTCCAGCCTGCTACTGGTAACAGATTACTTTCTGTCATCCATCCTACAATAAATATTTATATAAATAAAAAAGTAAAAAAGAGTCGTTTCGCAAAATTAAAATCATTTACCTTTACTTTCAAGGCCACTAATAAATGCTTTGTATTCACAAGAAATTAACAAGTTCGTAGCGTATATACTCTCTATGGATTTCGACGAATGCATACCATTATTTTCCGTCGAATACTTTTTGTTAAGTACGTAAAGCCGCATTAAAGGGTACGACATATCGCTTACTTCCGGTTTTAAGAAAAGATCCTAAAGAAACAGGACAACTTAAAACGTACACATAAAAACAAACTTATATCACATACTTACGAGTGGCACTTTCAGTGACATACAAATAAATAAGCCACAAAGACAAGCATGAAAATATGCTTCCAAAACATCACAGGGTTGCGCATCTTTTTTAAAACATATAAAAATAGTTTTATTCTGTACATCAATAGCAATCAAGTATTTTCTATCTAAGAAAAGTTTTAACGATAGTTCGGTATCGCTCGTCGAAATTATATTATTTTTTATAAGACCAGCAAGGGAGACCCCCATTTTTATATTAAACCCGCATATACTCATTGCTGAAAGAAAAAGTCGATCAAAGACAATTGACAATTAGTTAAAATAAGAAATCCAAGTAAAATGATCTTACTAGGTTTTGTGAGCAAGAACACTGACTCCTTATTATTAACATCTTCAGGCTCGGGAATGACTTCGTTCGTAATGTAACCCTTTACTATTAAAGCTAAACGATCTTCGTTTAACGAATTTAAACACAGTGATTTCACAGCCGAATAATTCGCGTATAAATGTACTATTACCAGGAAGAAATAGAGTTCCATTGCGTACCTACATAAGAATTAAATATATTATCCATACGTCGACGGTATTGCGGTTTAAATACTCACCAGCTGCTATGAAAGATGGAAAGTATTAAAATACCAACTAAAGATGCTATTAAATTTACACATGTCTCTTGACTTCCATCTTTGGCTGATACATCTGCTAAATTATTTTGTAATGCCTATAACACAAATGAGCCTATTTTAATTAACAAAACTGGATTTATTTCAGATCTTACACACCTGATGTTGTGTGAGTGCTGCTCTTGTGGCCCCACCAGCAACACCAACAACTGATTTCATTGCTGTTGAAATGCACAATATTGCAAGCGAATAAGAGGAGAAATAAGGTAAGAGTAATTCTAATCCCATTGCTAAATCATTCAGAATGTCAGCAAACAGTCTCCATTTCTTGCACTGTCCATCTAAGTCTGTCCTAATAAATTGAAATCAAGTTTCACCTTGACGAAGACTAAAGAAGGATTCAAATTATCTATCATTTCAATTACCCATTCCACCATGCGAATATAATACGACCAATCATTCCAGTTCCATCTTTCAGGACCCATGTTATTGCTGCTGCCAAAGGGGTTGCTGCAGCTTCGCCTACACCTACCCCCTGCATAATGGAATGTGTTGTAAGAGTACCCATGATGGTGCTTGCAAATGCCTGCAACAATAAATAGTACCATGTAATAGCTGTTCCAACAATGATTTCATTCATGATTTTACAAATGTCTTCTGCTACCCCCTAACCTGTACAGTGTCCCATATCTGATAAGCAGTATAATCAGGGTGAACGCTGTCGGGATATCCTTGAGGTAAAAATACCTCTTTCACAATCGATAGAAAACCAGAATAAAAAGGCTTCGTTCTAGTTGTGTCTGATAACAGTTCGGTTATCGATTGCTCATCTGTGGACCAAGTTCAATGATAGGTTAGGTAAACTGACAGTGACGTTTGCCACGTCGGAATAACTGTTACCTTTTGATTTGACAATGAATCGCTCTTTCTCGTTCCCGTAAACCTCGGTGAACAGCAATCGCTCGTGCATCTTGAAGCGTACCGAGATTACTTTGATTTGATATGAATGCACCGCGTGACAACATATGCGCTTTTATTAACGATCATGGTAGCTGTGTTACATTCACGCGCGATTACACCTGCACTATTGATGCAACGAAATTCCCTAATATTTTATTTAAAAAAGGAAAATTTAGTGTTCCTTTGATTAATAAACTTTAATTTGGTTGCATTATTTAATATCCAAAATTTATTTCTTTTTTTCTTCTTTCAAGTGTTTTATTTTTTTAAATCTTCTACAATATCTGTTTCGGGGAAGATCAAAGAAATATCCTCAATTATTCCATTCAATTCAACGATACATGCATCTAATCTTCTTTTCACATTTTTTGCATCGAATTTGGCATTTTTGTATAAGTTCATTCTGGGCACTTTGTTATTAAAATTGGAAATTAAATGATTCTTACAGAACTCTGCGCCGCCACCCATCCTACACCCTCTAAATTTATTTAAATTGCCACCTACTTTATTTTCAGTAATCTTTTGGAACGGGCTTAATATTTCTTTTTCCTCACAATTATTTTCTATAGGTGTATCAAAGGTCACATGAAAATTGTTTTTTGAAGTTTTCCTTCTTTTATGTTGCTTCAGTGAATCATACTCCTTGATATTTCTTTCTATTTTAAAGCAATTCAAGGAAATTCGCTTTCTTTTATGTTCCATGGTTGAACCACATTGAATTCCCTTAGAAATTTTCTTTTTCCTTATTTTTGGTGGACTGTCACTGCCATCATGTAATTTCTTATTATGTGAGAAATCGGTTTCATTCTTCTCATTTTTTATTATTTTATTATAAATTTTCCCATGATTGATTGTGTCGAGTTTCTTTTCGAAGCCACGTGAAGACAGTCGTCCAGCAGCAACCTCAGGCTTTTTAATTAATTTTTTCTTTTGATTAACGTTGATATATTTAAGGGTACTAACTTCGTTTCGTAATCGTACGATTTTTGTGTTCAAAGCGGTTATGATTTCCACAATGTCACTCAAATTTATTTCTTTATTTTGGACCCTGCAATAACAACGATCTGGTGTTTCTTCCTTCGTACACGTTGACATGTTGATCCGAATTTTTAATTAACACCATGATAAGTAACGAAACTATTCTATTTGGAACTGAAAGAAAATATTATTTAAATTATGGGTTATATGGTGTAACGTTATCATGAAGTGATTTCAATTTCATATTCATCTGTTATTATATAAAAATTTGTCAATTTGAGAACAAGTATGTTGCACTTTCTCTGAAGAATAGTATGTCTGAGAAATACGTAAAGGATATTTTAGAAAAATTGGAAGAAATCGAAAAACTTCACACGAAGCTTCGGACTTTGGTACCCAGAGTGAAAAATGATAATTCCGAAAATACCGTTTCAATCCCTGCTGAGGAACTTTCAAAGAGGATCAACAAGGTTGGAATGAAGGAGGATAATAAGAATTTGCCTAAACAAACACCAGTCGATATTCATCGTTCTTTTGAAACGTTAAAAAATTTATATAAATCTTCAAAAACTAATATTAAAAACTTGGTCACGCCTCCCGAGCATGATTCAAGATATTTCAAAGGCGGTAAATGGAGAAGATTGAGGAGCAATTCCGTGGATTTTGTTAAGAAACAATGGCAGGAAAAAGGAGATAAATTCAAGAATTTCCTATCTAACATTGTTGAACGTGATATCATTTTGGGTAAAACGATCTAACACCTGATCTAATATATAAATTATTATTATTCATAATTTTCAGTGAGCAGAGCTTCTCAAACGTCGTCAGACACTATAAATCCCTCCGTAAGAAATGAAGAGAAAACTGAATTTTCTTCGAGGAATAACCAGTTTCCCAAGAAGAGAAGACGCAGCGTACAGGATCAATTAGAACGATTACTAGAGCATTTTAATTACTCCCGTGATCCTGACCATGCGAATGGTAACAGAGTATCGACGCAACGTCACAGTCTGGACAAAGACGAACCACGAAGAGTGCAGACAAATTTATCGATTCCGGATGAGCAGACTGAAACAATGAAGATTATTTCATCTGCTGAGAGAATTTCCATTAACAATAATAGAAGGTGGTCTTCGTTAGATAATCAAGGGCAGAAATTTTTGAAAAAAACGTAGAAATAGCTGATCAGAGTAATAAACTTAATACAAAATCAGAGGATTAATTAAAATTTGCTATTCGATGTATCAAAATTACACTTGATATCTCGTGTAGTCGCGGTAGAACGCCATCTGAAACCAGTTGGAGAAGAAACGTTGCCCATGGGGCAGTTCTTCAAGGTGGTAGGACAGGAAGGAAATGTTTGAAAGAAACCTTAGAGCGCGTGGGCTGGACGATGAGAGCACCGGAAAGGCAGGTTCCACCGGAAGTCACGCAGGCCCAAACGTAACATTACGATCACGAGTAAACCCTTCGATCGTGCCTCGTTTAATTTCTGATTTCCCGATGAACCGGACTCGCTAATCCCTGTTCAGTTTCTATGAATTAGAACTTCCTCCATTCACTTACGTTTCTTTAATTCGATTATATATTTCAAAATTGTATTTCCAACAAAAGAAAACAACTATCCTAGGAATAATAGATTGAATTTCATGACGGACAATGTGCTAATGTAATTTTTACAATTATTTAATTTTCACCCGATTGAAAGTACAAAAAACGCCGTGACCAATCGTTTTCAATGTCGATCACCAGTATTGCGACGCGTTATATCGAAAGCTATTAGAGTGATGACAGAAAAAGAAGACCGGTAAAGCGATTTTCCACAGCGTAAAAAGTGGAACTTCGACTTGCGCGTCCAGCGTCTTTATTTATGACGATGAGCAATACACGTTTGCGATGCATTTAACGGGTTTTCATAGGAAAAAAGAGAAGTGTCTTTACAAACATCCTTGGATGTATTAAAACAAAGAGGCGCAGCAACCTAACTGTGGATATTAATCGAAAGGGAAGAAAACAAATTCAGATTGCAAACACGCGCGAGATCTTTCGACGGTCGATAGAAGGGGTACCGTTTCGGTACTTCCGGTTTGCGCAAAGGATACGTTCCCTCGGAACAACGAGCGTTCGATAAACAGAAATCCGGCCGCACTTAAACGAACCGGGTAAAAGTGCGAATAAACGAGCTTACGGAGCTGGCTGCCACTATTCCGCCATACCCCTCTGGCTCCCCCTTCGTCTACAGCCCCATGTGCTCGTTTTCCAGTCAACGACTTCGTTCGATGGTGTTGCACTTGCATGTGCATTCTTCTTGCATGCAGGAAAATATGGCGAGCTGCATACACGCACGTGGGACGCAGAGGTGGGGCTACGGCCTTTCAAGCTATTCCTGTACACCATGGAGTCGCAAGTAGCATAACAACGTGGTGGCCCTATTCCACACGATGGTGCTGCAATACACCGTGAACGGGCAGGGTGGTAGATTGATAACGCCATGACGACATTCAAGGAATTCCACTGGTTTTGCCTTTTACGACTCGACACAGGCGGTTCTCTAAGTTCACAATTTTTATTGATCCAACATATTGATGACGTTCAAACGAATCGATACCAAAGTATCAAACGAGTATTGATTTGATATCGTTCCGATCGGTACTTGAACTAATCGCCGTCACAGTTTTCATTGATGGTTGATGGTCGTAATGGGACGAATGGGCGGAGGGATCTCGTCGAATGTCACGCTAAATTACCTGGACTCGATCGTTTCGTCGTTTAATCGAGCCTCTCCTTGCCATAGCTAGCAGAGACGATTCTACGAATTCATGTCGTTGGTTAGTTGACCATTTATAGCGTAAATGGAAAGCTGGTGATTAAGGATTTTCTTGATTAAGCAACTCCTCGCGTCCTTCTTCGCAAAAGAGTTACAAAATCTTTTGTAATTCATTTTCAGAAATTAAAAAAAAAAAAAAATTCATTTCACCATAGCGAGGCACGCGACTGGAAGAATCGCACGAAATTCTTCCTTTACCACTTCCTTTCGTATCGTCTTTTGCCTCTCCCCACTTGGTACCACGGGTTTTGTAATGCCTCTCTGTCTCTGGCACTTCCTGTGTTCCGCCACGTTCACCTGTGTCTGTCGGGCACCTGCCTTCATATAACTATCTAGGTGTACACAGTGTATAGAGGTGAAGTCCTATGGGACTTTAGTTTCCCCGGCCAGGCTGTGTGTGCAGCCTGCTGGCACATACCTTCCTCCACCTGGAAACACGTCGAGCATACAGTCGATGTTACGCTGTCGCTCACCACGGCCGGACTATCGAGCTTTTCCTCTCGCTGATAAGAACCACCTCGCTTAGAACCGGCGATCGTATAGCCAGTACGATCGTTTAGTATCTCCTGCGACCGTCTCGTAACTGGTTGGTTCCTCCTCGACTTCTCTTGGGCTACCGCTTGGATCCAAAAGGTTCGAATTCGTACCATCTTCCAAATCGTTTTTTTTTTCTTTTTCTTTGTACGGTTCATGTACCTGGTTTATTCTATTCAATTGGTCTCGTTTCTATTCGAGTTTGGGATTTTCCCAACGATTTGAAGCCTCAATAGCAGCAGGTATTAGATTCGTGCAAAGGGTTGCTTTTATTGTGTATTTGAATTTAACCCTTCAATGCTGGCCAGGGTAGAATTAAATCTATAGCTTTTCCATTTAGAAGTAAATCGTGATTTACTTTGTGAAATTTTTATTCTTCGTGTTCTAATAGGAAGAAGAGACAATAGACTGCGAATCGTTCCAGCGAGGATGTGAAGGCTCGAAATTCCTGGTTCCGGTGTATCGATAGCGTTGAACGATCGCTTTCTTCCGTTTTACGATCTGAAGCGCGAGTTCTCCAAAACGAACGATGATTTAGTGTAACATTCTTCAAGTTCAAACGTGAACCCTTGATAAAGTGACTGTACTTCGTGTTTAATAAAAGACTGGAACTTTATTACCGATTTTAGTGCTTTAGAATGTCATCAGGATTTCATTGTCGGTAAGTAAACCTTTTGCACGTTTGTCCAAACACAAAAATCAACGTATTCTGTCAGTTGAGCTTTTATTGGGCACTTAAACGCCCAAAATAGAAGCTCTAAATCGTTTCTCACAGGATTCCAGTTCAAAGTTAGTCTACCTCCGCCTCCTCGAGTTTCTTTATCATTTTATGGAAGGAATAAGTCGTCGAGGGTATTAAATGTTTATTAGTGGTATTTCGGGGTATCAGCGAGCGTCATAAAGTATTCACGATCGATGGTTGCCCATGGAAATCCCAGGGTCATGATTTGAAAAGCAAATTTCGAACATTGCTAGTCAGGCCAGGTAGAAAAGTCTATTGAGACAATAGGCTCGTGCGTTTCTTCTCATAGGTGTTCGTAATGGCGTCCCTTCGGCGTGAATGCGCACGTGTTCCGGACGAGTTCCAAGTTCGAGCAATTTCTAACGTGCTTCGTCTCTATTCTGCTATCTTTATTTTCCTTTACAAGCTTGGAAAATTTATTTTTCATTTTCTAACGTTTCCAATATGACACTAATCGAGCAAGGTTGTTCGGTATATGTACATAGGTCTATTTGATTGGATTAAATACCATTTGTAATTCAAGATATCGTTCGAATACGATGATAATTGAACGGTATTAGTGAATTATTAATTCGAAACGATCCGATTGTCGAGGGAGAATAATGAGCCTAGATACATCAACCATTCTCCGGACTGTTTACCTATTAACCACGTGTACAACTGCGGTACTGTGTACTTACCTCATACATACCCAGGTTAGTTTCTCGCCTACACTCGCGTTAATGTTTCATTTGAATGGAACGTACGCTAATTCAATCATTTCAAACAAGTGAAACACTCGATCGCTATTTAATCTTACGTCTCTCAGAGGAATTCCATCGAATAAAAACGTAATTTCTAGTGCACTCTGCTGTTTTAAGTATTTAAAACAGGATGTAACAAAGTATCTTTTTTTGCGAAAATTGTCAAGATACGATAAAAGGAGTGCTTAAAAGCTTTCTTGTATCTCAACGTGACACCATTAGATTTCGCTATAAATTAGCGAAATCAGAATCCCCTATAATCATCGATGATTTTCAAATCAAGATAATCACACTTGAAGAAACCTGTCCATCAGAAAAACATGTCTTTCGCCATCGTAACACCTGACGATTAAATGAAATGAAATTCGTCCGCGATTTCTTAACCATTAAACGCGTTTTTATTTGAACCGAGTATATCATTTGAAAAGGATAGCCGCGAAAAAGAAAGAAATAATGGGAATAATATGAAATCGAAGGGATGGCGAAGCAGGTATCCGATGACATTTTCTTGGCGGCACGTTCACGCCTATCTCATGGTGGTGATCGCGAGTGTGCATACGTGTTACAAACGCTTCGTTATTTTCTCGAAGCGAAGCCTCGAGGCCAGGATTCTCGACTTTCTCTCATCTCGGTGCATCCATCTTAGGTGTGCGATTGCATATGCAAGGAATGCCGGTGTTGACCGATAAACAGCCGTAACGTTGCAACGATCGAGCCTGACCGATTAGCCATGCTCATGTTCTTATGCTGATTGAACGCTTCTGTGAACGCCTTAGAGCCAGTTTTTATCAAATTACCATCGCTTTAATTGCGTTAAGCTAAATTAAACGGCATCTCTATTTTCATCTAACTATAACTTGTTCGTTTTTCCGAATGTTAATTAAGCATTATCATTTTTTTAATAAAAATCTTTCGTAAACGAACAGACTGTGTAAATAAGGATTGAAGTTTTTCTATTTTTATAAACGTTTAGCCTTCATCAGAAGTTGACGAGAAATCGAAAATCACCGTGAATACGAAACGACTTAGAATCGTGTTATTCTCATCGCTAGGCCCCGATGCACCGGCGCTGCAGCTGCCGTGTAGTGACAGCTGCAGCTTTTTACTCGCTGCACTGGTTACTCTGGTTTCCATGTGCGGAAGACGTCGGACATGGTGCTGGTCGCACGCCACCGGCTGATAAAAAGCTTTTGGAAAAAGAAACGGATGCAACCGATGCAAAGTAACATCCTATATTATCCGATAGATAACAATGGTACAATTAGAAAAATCAAGAACTCATTTTCTGTAAGTTTTTTCTCTACTTATTTACATGATTAGATGGTTCGATTTCACGGTGAATGGTAAAGTAAATTTGTGTAGACGTATAGAAAATATTCTTGGGATCAAGCAGTACTTTTCTTCCAATTACAGCCAATTTACGTGACACCGTTGGCCTTATACGAAACGCTTGCAGAACTCGTAGAAAATAACGCGAGCATGGTGCGAATATATTGTAATTAACTCGCTGTTGCTTGAACTTGTTGTCCTTGAGAGCAAGTATTTCGATAATATTTCAGTGCTTAGCTCGTAAACTGTCGCTGGGATCCTTTGGATAATGCATTACACATTTCTTCGTAAATAAGCAGGACAGTTTCGTTGAAAACAAAAAGTACCAAAATCTGGTTCAGAAAATGATAACTCGTTGAAACTAAAATTTATAGATCAATATATAATATGATAAATCAACAGCCTTCGATCCCTATAAATTTCTTGCAGTCTTTTACTTTTAATATCATTTTCATTACACTGTCATAAGAGTTAATAACCGAAAAATTGCTCTATGTTGGTACACAACCCTCATAGATGCATCACTATTCGAGCAGTGTAATCAAGTTGAAAGAAACGCATTGACCCAGTCATCGTCCAATAGCCCAACAATACACTGCAGCCTTAACAATGCATCGAAAGCTTTGTTCGCCAGACTAGCGTATAAATTGCCCTAAAAATCCCTCTGAACGAGAAGTATGCGAATCCTGATCCCTGCATAACGAACTAGAAGGTGAACATGTGTTGTTGGCACGAAGAATACTTATTGCGACATCCAAACCATTTTGTCTGTCGAATGTTTATAATATAAACGGAGTTCTACTGTGGGCAGTTTCGGCACGGGTGTGAGGAACATCTGGCTGGTGATCGGCAAAGACGCGCCGATGCAGGTGCATCTTTCGACCGTGCAAGCGGCGCGCCTGCCAGCCTTCGAGATTTCGACATATCGCTATTCTGAACGTCGAAGCCAGCCAGTTTATTTGAAACATTCTTTCTTCGGAATCTATAGGAATAGATACCAAATGCATTCATCTACGTAACGTTGAAAATTTAAAAAAAAAACAGCGAAAGTAATCAACAGTGACTCCTCAATTGTATTTAGATGGTGTTGGAAGATGCAATCACTTGATATTTCTTACTTTTAAGTACTTAGGGATGAGTAGCACAGTACTGAGTTAGTATCTGGATATTTAGGGAACCACTGTATTTCGTGTGAAGACCAACAGATGTTTCACACTCTTCCAAAGACGTTTCGTTCACGTTCTGGCTCGCAGGATTACTATTTATTCTCTTATGCAGGCCAGTATGCATGCTATTGCATAACGAGCTTTCTTTTTCGACCCAAGTTGCGTTATTCCCGGAAATGAAAGAGTATCGAGACACGTCGTCTCTTGATTAACTTTGAAAAATGAAAGGTAATAAGCTGAGTAAATACACGATATAATTCGTTGATTAATAACGTAATTACGAACTTGTCGAGAGAAGTGAAAAAAGGAAAGAAGACTACAGGAAGAGAAGTCGTTTGGACTTCATTCTATCTGCCATTCTGCATAACGGAGTGCGATAGAAAAGGTATCAAAAAAGCACACCTTTGAACTGTATTCCATCTTTTTTATAAATGTTGATTCGATAACTGAACACGTCATAGAAGTACACTTTTATCATCCCATGTTTATTTAGACGATCATAATTAATTCATAAAGCTGACTTGCATAGTGGAGATAAAAAAAGCTACTTATAGATTAAAATACTTTTTACGTCTTGCAAGAATATATCACGGCCTTCATTTCGAACATTATAAACTAATGAATTCTTTTTTTTTCAATAACGCACAGACTTCTACAACTATCATTATCCGATGAATATTCATTGCTCTCGAAATACATCATCATGTTCTTTAATTCATCGTACCTTGAGAAGTACATTTTAAAGTTCACCTTTATTCCTTATCATTCGTCTATTGAACTCCTTATTTCGACCGAAGAATCTCCGCGATGTGATTTGAAATAAGACGAAAATAGAAGAAATCGAAGGAAGATGGTAATCATAGATGCAACTCTTTCGATACGATAGACTGACTGACCGTTTGAAAGGATACCGATAGATTAGTTTTACCGATAAGATTATCTAAAGTAGACGGATATTTACGATAAAATGAGTTCGCCTCGTAAAGACAGGTACAGACGATTAGATCAGTTTTCGTCGCAAAAAAAAAAAAAAAAAAAAAAAAAACAGAACAGATAAACGGGAATCTCGTGCTATGTGAATTCGAATGAGCTATTCGCGGTCTTATTGCGAATAGCTGACGCACTTGCAGCACGAAAGGATATATTCGAGAAGGTTGCTTGGAGGTTGAGACACGAGATGAACTGTTGCCTATCCTTTCACTTGGCCGTTTTGTGATACGAGCCCTCCCTACTTACAAATGTAGCTACTCAACGAGCGAATGTGTGCGTCCGTTTATCCTTAAGGCCGATTACACAACCACCACGAATACAGGGTGTCCCGTTCAGTCGGAATTCTAGCGACTTTCAACCAGAAACGATCACTGTGATCAGTAAAGTTCGCGATTAAAGATGACTAATTACCACTCTTCCTTTCTACTTATTCGATTTCACCAATATACTCTTTTGATGAATCGTGTGCCTTTTCTTCTTTCTATGAAAAAAATTACTTTTATGCAATAGTGCATCTTGCGAAAGGGTTAATAAGTTTCCCAGGTAACCGAGAGACAATGAGGGACTCAATTAAAAGACGATTTGTCAGGAATTCGCTAGAAGAACGTTGTACGGCTCGAGTGGAATGCATAGATTCCAGGTGCAAACTTGAACCCTCCTGGCGGAATCATTGTCGGTAAAGATTTATCGATCTCCCGAACGTGGGAGAAAGAGAGGGAAGAATTTCACGAACGATTTATCGTAAAATATACCGTGTGGAAAAGGTTGAGTTTCGTAATGACTACCTTTGCGATGCTTTCGTACAGGCTACAATGTATGTATATTATCCTGGCCACCTTTCGAAACCGGTTGTAATAGTTCCGACTTCCGGTCCCGTCTCGATCGACCCCCTACCATCATGTCTTTGTCGGTGAATCGAAACGATGGATTAATTAAAAACATCAGCTGAATTTATTCGTGTATTGGTAATAATGTAGCACTTCTGAGAACGTGTTAGTGTATCGTTAATGAGCGAGGGTTATTCACCTCTTTGACCCGATGTTTCTCACAGACAATGAAACTTGATACACAATAGTTGCAATTTTCAAAAAGGTTGCGACCATAAAAGTTTTACTGATACGTATATTCAAATTGTCAAGTAATTTCTGAATACTGAGAAAAAAATTGCACGATACACTTTACAATGCAACCTTCCATCGTTCTACCAGGAGAAAATTACTTGTTCCCTGTCCAATAAGTATCCCTTAAAACGTGAAATGAAAACGTGGAGCGAGGAAATGAATGTGCCCTCAGCACGTTAATGGGCTGCCTCCTTGAAAGGGGGCCCCTTCGTTTCCGTACCCTGACGAGAACATGTGGGTGTATCTAGGCTGAACCGAGCACGCAATCATCCCCCTTTCGAAGCCAACCACCGAGACCATCCTCCTCTCGGCTTTCTTCCACGAGGAATGCACGGTGTCGGTCAGCTGCTCCTTCTGTAAAACTAAACTTCCTGCGCCACGTGCACATCTGCTCCCTTTGCACGACGGTGGGGGTAATCTAGTGGTCCTGGATGCTTGGCTACAAATCCCGAGGGTACGCCAGGACTCGATCGTTATAAATATTCCCTGATTAATCGAAGGTGTAAAGAATTTTTCATTTAACCCTTTAAATTAACCATCTTATAATTGTCAAGTCATGTTACCGATAATTTACAAGTAATTATCGCTCGTCTACTAATAAAATTGCTAGTGTCCTAAAATCGTGCATGCGCACTTATTTAACTAACAATTACTAATCACGACATAATGAATGTTAACACTCAAGAACCTACTTCACGATCATTACACTAAAAATTATTACAAGGTCTCGTTCTCGTCTTCTAAAAGTTTTAATGAAAATTTAAAATTGAAGTTTGCGGGAGGATGATAGTCAAAGGGTTGAAGGAGCAATGAATCCGTAGGGTGGTTTTTGTAAAATCTCCTCGGAAAGCAGGTCAAATGAGAACGTGAGGCAGAAGTTAGGGCATGAGAACGAGGTGATGGCGTACGTACACGAAAGAAAGGTGGCAGAAGAGTAGGAGGAGGAGGAGGAGGAAGAAGCAGAAAAGCTGCCGGTCAGATTGTGAGCAAGGGAGGAGAGTTGCAGCTGCTGTGACAGCTGCAGACTTCCCAATATTATTCCCCGGCTGCTCCTATCCTCCGAATGGTCCCTCCCGTCACCTCTCCAGGTGCTTCTCGCATCGGTGTCTCGAAAAATCTTTCTTTGTTCCCTCCGCTGAGTTTCGAATAGTTCTGTGCGCGATCTGCCGCGTCGAATATCGATTGGGGATGAATTTCATTGAATGTCACCGAGGGTGAGTTTATTTCAAAAACAGCCCATACAGAACGCGATTGAACGAATGTTAAATTTTAACTTGAAAAAATAATTCTGAATTCCAAAATATAAAGCTAACAGGCTAAGCTAATATTGTCAAGCTTCGTATTCTAATGTCAATACCTAAGCGGGTTTCAATCTGGTTCTGATCATACGTCCAACCTCCTATTCATGTACAGCCTTGCAACGTAAAAAGCGCACCAGTTCGCCACAATTATTGCGTAACCACCAGGTTATTCAGGTCGACAGCTCGACCTTTCCCCAGTATCTACCTGTGCCGGATGCAAAACTGGACTAAACGTCAAGAGAACGCATGCCAATCTTACGTGCTAACTATTGAACGTAATCACGGTTGTACCAATGAAAATCTGGAATATTTAGGATATGTCCTTGGTGAAAGGACCACTTGAGAAGCATGTCGATGCTTAAATGCTCGTGTACCGTTTGATCACGTTTGACGACTTTCTACTCTGTCATTTGGAACAGCGACAGCTAATCATGAAATTTCGTTTACTTTAGACTTCACTGCTTTGTCACACACGATTTCCATAATTCAAGGATATCGGCTTGTTAAAGGATATCGTATCTCTCGACGCGAGAAACGTTATGCACTAATTACATTAACGCGAGGATATTCTATTCGAGCAAAAGTAGCCTGAATGATGCCATTGGAAAATGCAGTTTACGATTGCGTTTCTTCTTTTTCCGACAGATATTCACAATTTAGATGACCGACTTTCTAGTTTTTAATTTATTGTTCCTGTATGCACGTTAATAGCTAAGACTTTGTATGCAAGTAGCCTACATTTACTCACGTTTTATAACTTCATTAGATCTGTTAACGAAAGTGTGAAATAAAATATGCGAGGAGAAATTTCTAATCGGGGAAAAAAAATAAAAATGTAATCCTTAGGTACGACTCAAGGCAACAGGAGAAGAGATTTTGATCTATAGATACGAAGAGGGGAGAGACACCTGCCTTGTGTATAAAAAGGGTCCAAAAGGTGCACGATCGTGAATATCAGGTCTGTAAAATTGCAGTACGTCTTCAGAGGAATTAATGCGACCTGACGGTGCACCTGTTGCGGACTTTGAATAAAAGAACCCTTAACTTTGTCGAGGAACGTCAATCTATTGAATTGTTAAACAATCTTGCAATAAAGACTAGATGCCAATCATTTGAACAATTTTTATTCAGTCTGACGAGTAAAGCAATTTCCCAAAGTTAGGGGTTTACTATGACAGAAACCCGATGCATTTCGCAAACACGCAAACATATGTCAAGGTAATTAATGTTCACCGGTAGCCGATTCAAGGGGACGTGCTTTGAATCGGATACGACCCGCCCTACAGACAGCAATGAAATTTAGAACAGACACACCCCACTGAGAAGGGTGACGGTCAAATGCTGGCTTATCTGATGGGCAAAAGGAATTTCAAACGAAAGAAACAGACCCGGGGAAATGAGAACAGATGGTGTGAACTCTGAGCCATACGGGCACGGTGAATTTAAAAATTCAAATTTGAGGGTTTCACCTTTTCTCGAGCCTCCTAAATGCTTGTGTAGACACGATTTTAAACAGCGAAGTCACTAGATAATATTGTTACGCCTGGACGTTTTGAGAAATGGTCAGGCTGACTAATGTCTCAGGAATTTGGGAACAAACCGATGACAAATTGATAAGAGAAAGGGGTAATATGGTAAATACGAAATGAACAATAGGTCATAGATTTCAGATTTCCAAATTTAGTTACATAGATTGGGGATACCCCAGGCTAAGTTTTACGGACCAGGCATTCGATGCATTTAACTTGTGCACTAGAAGTACGGCCAGGCCGTAAATTCCAAGCGACAAAAAGCATGGAGGCGGCCAATTTTCGGACTGTCCTTCGCAAGATAATGTCTCATGAAGATCGAAGGCGGAGACTTCGCGGATGTTCCTTGTTAGAACGCCGGTACCGGTTCGTGAAGCTGGTCAGAAGGCTCGATTCCGGGCCTGGTGGGGGGAAGGTCGAAGAAGGCCGCAGCTGGCTAGATCCTGTCCGCGTACTTACATACAGTTGAACGTGGCTGAATGTAAGGAACATGCCTCCACAGTTGGGCCTTACAATGTCGCTTTGCTCCCCTCCACGTTCACGGACCTGCAGTTGGCAACACGAGTGTCTTTACCGATCACGCGTCCAACAAATTCTTTGTTTCAGAAAGGGTGCTAGTAAAAGTACCGCTTTAATACAGTTCCCCCGGCTACCTGAGTTAGACGATTCGTCGGTAATCTTGATTTAGTCCCTACTGTACAGGTAATTTTGAATGACTCACTTAGGGACGTGCCTAATCATTCCAGTTCCTTCGATTCGCTATCAGTTTACTGTAAAACACTTTGTCTTTTTTTATATTTGCAACTCGAGTGGCCTGTTTTCCCTGGACTAGGGTCGGCTCCGCTCTAAGTCACTGTACTTGTGCCACATATCCGATAATCTCTTTCACACGTTCCTTCATTCACCGTCTCTGCCTCTCGGTTATCTCCGTTCAACCAAAGTCATCCAACTTCTCATTCTCTTCAACTCGTTCGTTCGCTTGAACGAAGACGAACGAAGAGCAACAAGACTCCCTTGACGGTAGATGTACCTTTGGAAATGATATCGCGGTCGCGGTTCGTCCTAGCTGAATCCCTTCTGTCTCGTTCCCTCCTGCTGTTACAAACTACCCCATTGGCCATTTTCCATTCGTCCATCTTTGTTGGGCACGTATAACCTGTCGCTTTCTATCGGATCTACCAATCAGCGCGCTTGGTCCAGCGGGCATGACGCGACCGTACCGCGGAGAGACCTAACCGACCCGACTGCGAACAGTCTGTGAGTAAACTTCGTGGCATGCGTTTGGTAGCGCGCGTGCGATCAGAGTGTTTCCATGCGTGTCACGACACGGATACACGCGAGTCGATCTCTCGATACGTCGATTAATATTTATAAGCGATCGGTGAACGTTCTAAAGTGAATTCGAGTCTCGCGAGGATTCGAACCGAAGGAGATTTCGCTTGGGAACGAATGCTGATATCGGTTCAACTTTGTTCGCGAACCCGCCTTTAAATAATCGCGAGTGCAAATACACCGAGTTCGAATCGCCGCGCTGCGTTTACGCACACACACACACACACCTATATAAAATAGATAACACTGTTGCATCGGTGAAATTTGACAAGAGAAAAAGAAAAAGATGGTGCGTGGTTTGTCGCAGTGGACGAAAACCTTGAGCTTCCCTGCGAGGGTATCCCCCCAGAGGCCTGCCAAGGAATCAAAAGGGTTTCATGTGAGCCCTAGTGCTAGCCCCACGTCGCCACCGAGTCCCATCAACGACAACATGGACAAGGCACCGATTATTACCGACGAGGTTAGATATCTTTTGTTTTTTTTTCTTTTTCTTTTTTTTTTTGCTTTCCATAACATATTTATTGCAATTTTAAGATATCGTAGGACTTTCAGGGTGTGGACCTCGGCAGTTTCAAACTTGCTGGAATGATAGTGTATATTTATAATAAAATTGTACCTTAGCCGCAGATGACTAACTATAAGAAAAATACGTCTGACATTTGAAAAAACGCATAGGGTGTGTGGGAGTAGTACCGCGCTACTGATGGCACTTTTCAAATTTTCTCGCGTTCAAATTCCCTCTCGGGGGAAACCTTTTATTAATCGCATTTTTTTCAAAATTGACTAAACATCCATCGCTAAAATCAAGGATACGATAGTTATGTCATTCCACCAAATTCCACTGAATACTCCCTATAATACAGTAGTTTTGAAACTAACCACTCCAAAATTAAAAACTACGAATCACGTAATACTTTACAAGATACTATGTGATGCAGTGCCATTCAAAATCTTAGGGGGGTGAATGTAAAAGTTGTTTAGGGTGGAAAGTTGGATAATCGTTAATAATTGTTATTTGGCATACCAAATTGCACGCAGGTCATTCTTCGAATATACTGGAGCAGAGTTTCAAGTTTATCGTCATACGTGTTTCAGATAACGGTCTGTTGCTATACGCTTCAACCAGCAACGGGTTAATCGCTGGTTATGCATTTCAGTCGCATGCATGCGTCCAACTACGAAACTGCATACGTTTGTTTACTTTCACGTCGTAGATTTTTATGTCTTACCAGGAACGAGGTGACGTGAACTCATTCCAAAGATAATTAAGGTGTACATTTTAAATAGACCCCGTTATGATTTCTTTAGAAACGAGCTTCTTGTACAGTTCAATTTGAACAGAAGTAATTGTTTCTAGGTTTGCTCGTCGTCGAGTCTTTGCATTTATTAAATTCAACTTCATAAACCGCCCCGAGCTGACGCGTAACTTAATCTTCATGCGAATAAAGGGAAACCACAGAATGGGGGAAATCTATTATTGGACAAAACGGAAACTGAGGGTTACGTTTCGATATCGTTTACAACAGCACCATTCATGATTCTATCGTGACAATGTTGTGTTGGTTCAACTTTGTTTCTACGAGCGCCCCCCGTGTTGAATGCGTCGCGCATTAACTGCTTATCGAAATACATATATAACATAGGCGTATGTGCTGCAATCGAAACGCGAGCACTCTCCGAATAAAACACTACATAAATCTTGAACATCAAAAGGGGGTCTCCTTTTTGCTCGCTGTCGCGCATTCATACGATGTAATCGAAATTCAAAGCACCGTATTTGTTGCATTGTATTACATTTACTTTCTACCAGCATATTCTTTAAACGACTTTTTACCATATGTAGAACAACGTCGGTCCTCGGTTCAGACAATAAAATAACCAAAATATTACATTATCATGAGACATAAAATTCAAATGATCAAATAAAACCGCTGATAAAACGGCTCGTTTTCTTGTTTGTCTACCGCCACGTGTTTCCCAGAAGAAGAATTTCTAATCATCCCAACAGTGCTCGTGATTTATGCCACGGCAGTCGGTAACATGTTTTCAAACTATTCCTCGTGCTAGCCTTTTCCAAACTCGGCTTCCCTCGAAAGGGTCGATTCTCCCTTCATTATCGATTGCATACCGCGACGATTACGAAATATGCCGCAGTATAATCGATCTTCAGACTCGAGTTACGCATAAATGAGCACGGTGGACCTTCGCGTAACGAAAGGAATGAAAACAACTCCCGTATTTTATATGCGATGAGAATCTTTAAATAAAATTCGAGAGAAGAATAATTATTATTTGATTACTTGATGCACGAATCTCGTTTTACTCCCTTCGGTCACGTGTATCTGTTTAACCCAGTCAATCGAATTTATTCATGGATAGCTAAACAAGGGGGGAGTCACTCGAAATTGTCATCGGAGGTTCCCCTTACTGTGTCGAACGTGTATTTAGGGAATCGAGTTCATCTCTTCTTGCGGTTAGTTTAATCGTTCCACAGACCCCTCGAGAATGCATTGCCAGCACACGTGCTGCACGTTTACGATTCCCTTTGTGCTAACACGTTTAAAAACAGCCGGCTCAAAGCGGCTGCTGGTGGTCGGGAGTGCCAACTTTCTGCAGGGGTCGTTTCGGGGGATACGTTCGTGTAAACTGTAAACAGAGTCCCCGGGAAGATGACAATGGCGCGACTGAGGAGGATTCGCTGATGGCACGTGTTGCTCCCGCACCAAAGTGACTTCGTTTTCTTTTGTAAACGAATTCGAGTAGCCGGACATGTGTCGCGCGACCATTTTTCTTCCGACGATAATTAAACTGCTCGTCGAGGAATGATACGCGTCGTGGGAAGTCCGGTTACAAGTCAGAGCGGTGTTAAATTAGAAAGGAAGATCGGTATCTGGACTCGGTTTTCTTCTGTTAGAAAAACGACCCCTTTCCGGGTTTTACCAGGAAGGTACATGGACCAGTTTCAAGTATCGCGGACGGACGGCTCGACGAACAAATCGGAGAAAGCGAAGCTGCATGACTAAATTTATCTAACTTCTCCCACGGTAACAAACGTATTTAGAGATCTACAACTTTCTTTTCTAAATCAATCGATATTTTCGCGAAACATAACCGAAGATTACCGAGTAGGTATACATCGAGACACGTGTTGTTGGTGGAAAGACGATACCGAAATAGATAAAGATATTTTCGAAAGACGAGCCATAACTTTGACTTAACGCGTCGGTACGGTGTGTGCGAAGTTGCCGGTCGTCGGGGATACGCCGCGGTAATGGACAAAAGTTTAGCCTCGTAACAGAAAACGTGGAGTCGCGGTTTAAAGACGTCCAGGCGTTCTCCAGCTATATAAAATAAACCGACGCGGAGAGCCGGCAGTGTCGGTGGAAAAAGGAGCGATGAGGACTGGTCCAAAGGCGGGGAAAGGCGACGGCGGAAGCGTGGGAACCGAGCGTAACAGATGGCCTCGGCTGCTTCCGAACCCGTTCGGCCTCCTTCGTGCACCTCCGTGGTATCGGCTCCGCTTTCTGTTCTCGCGCCATCCACCGACTATGTGTCGATGCAATTTGATTCTCTTGCGAAAAATAGATTTGTTAATTCTTTAGGCATCTTGTTACGTTCGATCACCTAACCTGATTCGTTACATTCGATATCGATCAGAAAGCGACACCCTGAAAGACAGAGTTTTTATATGTCTCCGAGTGGATTTGAATTCCCGCGCAAAAAGAAGCAGCGCCCTTTCGCTGATCCTATTACCCCTTGTTCTTTTTAATTAAAACCAATTACTGTGGCTCCATGTGTAAACCCTTTCGGTGCTATGATATTAAATAAATTTCATTGTTCTTCACGGTTATAATTCATTTACCGTTACGAAAGGGGTGGAAGTTGAAATGACACGCGAGGAAATAAGGTCGTGTCATTGATTCACAGAACCGTTCGATTAAAACCGGAGAATAGGTTAAGAGGGTAACGATTGAAAACAAAAAGTACAATAGGAAATGGTGGCCAATAACCTGCGCACCGGTAAGGTCTCGGGAAACGTCCAGATAAGCTTCAACTTGTTTGAAATGCATTCGTGGAAGTATGCTAGTAACTGACTGTATAAGCCCCAGATATTAAAACATTTCACAGTTAAAGGTGTGAAACCATATTTTAGAATCATTCTATTACTACTGAAATACTCGTAGAATTTTTTAACAAAGGATATCGTCGACCGGAGAGTGACTGTTACAGTTATAGAGTAATAGTTTGATGGGGTACTGTCAATTGGAAAATGATGACGATCCAGGAAATTATCGCAGGAAGTATCGTGGCCTCTCGGTGATGCGTAATCTTCAGGAAATAGCACGCATACTCACAGAGCCCGTTGCGTTACCTCGGTTTCAGTTATCTATATATTCTCAGCTCGTTGTTATAAAGGGTTAAAAAAAGACTGTCACCAAATGAATTCTCAAGGAATTAAGAGGCAGTGTCTCAGTCAGCTCTTATTAAGCTAAGTCTGTACAGTCATTTGTGACCCACGTGTTCTGGAATGCGAGATAACGCGGATGCTTACCAGTGGTGGTAATTAAGGCGTGTTAATTTAAAAGCAGATCCTTTCCTCTCTCTCCTCTTCCCATGGAGACCACCGCCTCCAACTTGGCCGGAAGTTCTGCGGTGTTTGTTGTTCCTTAGAGCATTGTTCCCCCGCGCATTCCATCGTAATGAACATCTTGTTCTGCTCGCCTTCAGAAATAGGCGTACGAGACGGCAATCTCGATAGAAATTACGTTTAACAGGGCTTGCTGAACGTGCTAGACTCGAGTGCAAATGCACCTTCATTTCCGGGTACTTTTGGAAGAACTCGGTATTGTTGAAAGGTTCCGCAATCTTCTTTATCTCTCTAATTGGAACGAACGTATATTTTTCCAATTAACGTAGCGGCATGCCCGTACTCGCCTCTTGAAAACGTCCTTACAGAATATCCTTGGGATATTTCATTTATCTTTCATAGACAATTCTTATATTAAATGAGCTGCGAGCAAGACTCGAAAGATCCCAAATGAGTAGCCAACGTTTATTTTAAGTTCACCGTAAACATCGATAATTAGGATGTAAGTTTATCTCGGCATTGGTGGTCAATATTTTAGTATCCACTGTTATCTTGCTCGCTTATTTACGTAACGATCGGATCAGCCTTTGATATCTTCAACTCGACCGCGTTAATGATGAACCAAGAATACGTTTGTTTTTGTTCAACCAGATTACGCTAAAATCGTGAATCCTCCAGGGTGAAATCATGTAGGATGTGTCACGATACAAATGGTCGGAATTTTCGACGTTTGTAGATTCCTCTGGTTCGATAAGATAGAAGAGAAGTCGTACACGAGAGATAAAAGGCTATCGGTAGCTTCTCCTTCCGAAAATCTATCTAGCTTAAAAGTTTCTCTTTAAAACAAAATGATCGCAAGATGCATAAATGTATCTTAGATTAATGGAATACACGTTAATCGACAGTGGAATTCCAGAATCGTGAAATTCATTCAATTATTCGTCTTCTCATTGTGTTCAAATGTATATTGTTTTCACGCTGATGCTTTTCGATCATATCATGGAACTGAATTAATGTTTCGTTTCCTAGAATAAGATTGTTTCTGGTTGGTTGTCAAAGAGGGGAGAAAAAAAAAGAAGGTGGTTACCGGCTTGAAATTAAAATGCTTTCATTGAAATTCTAGTTGGACGTTCACGGGTCGTGAACTTTGTAACCCTTTAATCCCACGTTACAGCTTTAACGCGTGTTCGAAAGCTGAGAAAACAAAGAATGTCGAATTATTTTTTTTTCTACTGTGAGAAGAATGAAATTTTTTTCCTTTGATCTTAAATTGCAACTTCTAGTGTTTGTAAAACAGACTTAATTCAGTATCATAGTAGCAACAGCGATATGAATTATCTTATGTTGCATAATTAAGGCTTGATCTACTTAAAATATACAGAACGTGTTTTACATTTATTTATGAAGAGATGTATTTTGATACCGAAGTGAATCGAGGCGTCAGAGATAAACACGTTCGTCCTCGTTTTTTAATTCCTTCGACTCTAATTCATTTTTCATATCGTTACGCGCGACGTTATCAAATAATATATTAATAATCGTCGGTCTAAATGTGTCTTTAAAAGATTATCTTTGAAAAACAAGTTCTGACAGCGATGGTCGGATAAAGATTTGGGAAAATTTGAAATTTCGCGCACACCTGGAACGGATCATCGAGCGCAGCATTCCAAGAATACGATATGATAATCCTTGGTCATCGAGTTGTCAAGGTCGTGCTTTCGAATAATGAAAAAGAAAAAAATGGAGATTCGCCCGTTGGATTCGAATGCGTAACCGTCACATCCGTGCATCGCTAATATCGGTTGAAGATTTTTCGAATACCGGACACTACTCTCGTCAGACTGCTTTCCGTTTCATTAAAATACTGTAGCTCCTCGCCCGGTCTCGGTCCTTCCAGTTATTTTTCGAAACTGTACGAAGAATCCAAAACTGGACTTCTACGGATGAAGTTACGTTTATCCCAAATTAATGAATGAATTCCAAATTACTTCGTGACATTAACGTATCGATACTGTTAATTTTCTAAATTTATTCGCGACTTTAGTAAACCGGTACCATCGATTTGCCAATTTTCTTCGTGTACCTGTTCGAGCTAGGAGATTCTTGCGCGGCTACATAACGCGATCGTCATTCTCATCCTGTGGAATAAGTGGAACGTACGCGAAGATCGTGTCCGTTATTTCGCCGTGACGTCAGGACGACTTGTAACCGCTGTGTTAACAGCATCAGAAGAACAGGAGGCTCTACCCATGATGTCAGCTCGATGTCGGTATTCTAATTCGTTTGGTGCAGCCATTATGGAGCTTCCTGGAAAAAAAGGGTCAGGGAGAGGCGCGAGCTAAAGGGTCATTTGCATTCGTGCATATTCCTCGCGGCTGCATTAGTCAGACGCAATTTGCTTCGCTGGCACTCCATAAAATTGTACGACTTAAGAATGATCTTCAACAGGATTCTCTTGTTATCTTACCTGACGAGTTTCGCGTGTGACAGATCATCGGATTGAAATGAGGTAATCGGTGTTTTAAGAGTCAGTCAATCGGATGTCCAAGTTCAATGTACGGTACTTCCTTTCAGTCGTTTCAGCTTAATTTCTTCTTGAACATTTCGGTATGTTTGATCAACGAAGAGGTATCGCCCGCGGAGACACCTTAGGTGCTGTATTCCTATTTTCGAACAAAAACTGATGAACCATAAGAATGGAGCGAGATCAAGACTCGATCGCGTCCAGTGTATTTTTATTCACGGGTATCACGACCTGGCCGGTGTTCTTATTTCTTCGTCCTGATCATCTTTTTTTTTCGCAATCTCGAAACTGAAGAGGTAGGTCTGTCTCTTCCATTCCTGGCGGTGTTTATATCTCGCTGTCGGTGGCTGGTTGCGTTAGGTTCCTCGACCTTGCCGGTCGTGCAGGTTTCAACTCGCAGGCACCTTCAGACGTTCCCGTGCATACCGGGTGTACCTGTGTGAAAGTGGCTGAGAAGGTGTAGGATGTGCCAGGATACCGAAGAAAGGACATTCCTATCCACAGGGTGTTCCATGTAACTGGGTCAAACTGTAGCTCCAGAATGGTACAAAACAAACGAAATTAATCAGGCAAAATTACATGTTGCCGTTTTGGCTCCGGAAGTGAAGGCATTTTTAAAGGACCTCAAGGTTGTCTCCACATTTTTTTTGCGTGGGTTCATTCATTGGGATATTTTGTATAAAAGAAATCCGATGAAATCGATGATCCTTTGTATTTGAAAAAACGAGTCTTAATAGAAGTAATAATTATTTTCACACAGTGCGCGTAGCGTGTTAAATTTATTCTGGTTTTCGCCTCCCGCATGGTTTCTCAGTACGGGGCGCCTCCTGCATCATCAGGGTTATTATTGAATCTCGCTATTTCCGAAAACCGTCACGACTCGTCGTTCAACACGGTGAACGTTCTTCCTGGAAGCAGCAACGCGACATGAAAATTCTATAAAGGATTGGAATGTTGTCCCTGACAACGCGCACATGTCTACGGCTATTCCAAAGAAAGTTTTTTGTAGATAGATTTTGATTTATCGGAGGACTTTCTATCGTTTATTTTTCTATTTATTTTACTGCCGTTTCATTACTCTCTTACTTCTGAATGTACTAACCTTGTGATTTAATTAGTTTTTTTATTTACTATTTAGTCAATTAATTTTAGTAATTTAATTACCATAAAAGCTTAAAGAAATCTCGAGAGAAGTTCGAAACGTAGCTAAAAATAAAAGTAATGGTAATTTAATTACTTTTGTATTTAATGATGTTCTTAGTTAACATAGAAACAATAGAAGCGTTTACGGATAGAATCTATCGTTTGAGACGAGAAATCAGCAATAACGACATGATAATGAAGGATTAGGTAACTTGTTGCATTGTTTCCAATGTGTTTCCGGAGAAAGTTCAATTAATTTGAACCAGACCTAATAAACTTTATCAATTAATTAAGTACTTGATAGTTTCTTTAGAAAACGAATTTTATTTCATCAGAATGTTAAGGAAAATCTTGGTCTTTGTTAGTCAAACTGGAGTTATCAGGAACATAATGTTTGTTCAATGTACACACACGAGAGAATCTTTTAGTGCTAATTTCTCGTTTGAAATCAGTTGCGTATTTTACACCTGCTCTTCAAATTATTACGAAACAGGCTTTAACTTTTATGGCATAACGGAGCCACGGATATAACACTTCTAGTGCAATTCAAGGGGAACAATGGAAATAAGACATTTCAAAGTGTAATTTAAAGATTATTCTTGCAAAATAGCTAAGACCGATATTTCTTTGTGTGATTCCAGAATTTCCAGGACTTGGAAGCAGAAAAGGCAATAATGGGATCAATTGTGTACTGCATACATCACAAAGATGGATGCAAATGGTCAGATGAACTTCGAAAATTGAAGGTAATTTATCTTTTTTTTTCCAAATATTTCATTTTTTTTCTTGAAAGAATAAGGAAGATTTCTATTAACTCGAAGGTAGACTATGGAGGCGTTAAGGATACCCCAAGGTCAACCTCATTTAGTTAAATAAAATTCTTTAATTGTACACTTTCGAAATCGTTTCATTAAGTGTTTGCGATCTTGAATGACCTTGCATGATAGGTCGTTGAACTGCTCTTGGCACATTAACTCCCACACACGGCTAGGTTGTGTTGGCCTTCCGGTCAATTGTGAGAACAATTATCAACGCTGATCGTTGTTAGTAATACATTAAGCATTAAATAATGTAAATGACGTGTACAAAATAACCTTCCTAGCTTTGTACACCTTTCTATAGTATAACGAACCAATTAAAATTGCAAATTTGAAAATGAAAAAAGTTCAGAATTGTAATATTTAAATTGATATCTCAAAGTTCTCAATAAAAAAAAAAAAAAAAAAACATCCATTATACATTGCAAAATTCAAAAGAAAAATATCATACATGGTAATCATTAGTAACTCTTTTCATTTTAGTATATGGTTCATGTTCTCATGCTTCCACGATTGTCGTGGCGAGTGTATAATCGAAGAGGGAACGATGAGAAGGAATGCGTGCTGGGTGCGTCATTGTAAAAATCGCATTATCCTGTTTAGGCTCACCTGAATACCTGCAAGCACGATGCGGTTCCCTGCAGCAATAAATGCGGCGCAATGATCCCTCGTGTACTCATGGAGGACCATTTGAAGTACACTTGCGCTCAACGACGAGCTCGCTGCGACTTCTGTGCCAAAGAATTCACCGGTCACACACTCGAGGTAACTGCTGTTGCATTTAATTAGAGAATCGCGATCGAGTGCTAGCTGTTAACCGCACTTCCTACGAATGAAAATAATGGAAAACACGAGTGGAATTACATTCCTCGAATTCTTTTTCTTTAACGCTTGCTATTAGTAAATGTTAATAGATCGTTATTGATTATTTATAAAGAATTAATGTTAATGTTCGCTTGTATACTTACAGAAACACACAGGAACATGCGGTTACGAGCCATTGTACTGCGAGAACAAATGCGGCATGAAGGTGCAAAGAAGGCATCTAAGTCAACACAAACTGGGCGAATGTGCGAAAAGGCTGGTAGCCTGTCGTTATTGCAACAAAGAGTTTGTTTTTGACACGCTAGGTGCCCATCACGCCAAGTGTGGCCGTTTTCCAGTCGCTTGTCCTCATCGTTGTGAAACTGCAGTTTTACCAAGGGAGGATCTCGAAGTCCACTTGAAGGACCATTGCACCACACACCTTTTGTCTTGTACCTTCAAGGATGCTGGGTGTCGTTTCAAGGTATAAAAATGATCAGAATCTTGTTATCTTTTTATATAAGTTCGGTAGATCAGTATAGAATAATGTTACCCTTTTTGGTACAGGGAAATAGATTCTCATTGGACAAGCACCTGGAAGAATCAGCAAAGATGCACCTGAGCCTGATGTGCAGTGTAGTAACCAAACAGCAGCACCAGATAACCAGCCTGAAATCAGCAATTAGCAAGTTGTCGTTAAATTATACAGGCACGCTAATATGGAAGATCACAGATTACAGTGCGAAAATGTCCGAGGCAAAGGCCAAGGAGGGAATGGAACTTGTCAGTCCTCCATTCTATACTAGTCAATATGGTTATAAGCTACAGGTGACTAAACTATATTAATCTTCGTCGTACAAAGTTTCTGAAAGCATCTGAATTCTTCAAAATACTCTGGTCGATGTTGTACAAGTTGTTTTCATAAACGATGAACATTTCAGGCGTCAGTTTTCTTAAATGGAAATGGAACCGGCGAAGGAAGTCACATCTCTATATACATAAAGATTCTTCCCGGAGAGTATGATGCTCTGTTGCGATGGCCATTTTCTCATAGTGTATCTTTCACTATATTCGATCAGACGGTGGTGGCAGAGAAGGCTTGCAATATCGTGGAAAGCTTTATACCGGATCCAACATGGAAGAACTTCCAGAGGCCAAGTCGTGAACCCGATTCTCTTGGTTTTGGTTTCCCTCGATTCGTTTCCCATGAAATGGTCAAGAAACGGCACTTCGTCAAAGACAATACCATGTTTATACGAGTTAAGGTTGATCCTAGTAAAATTGTGGCTGTTTAGATCGATAAGCATTATTCTTTCGGTAACGTTGTATCATACTAACTCAATTGCTATCGTTCTCCACAATAATATACTTAATATCGTCACGATACAGACGTAAACGTTTCGATATGGTTTATACGCATTTCTTATTTTACATGTAACGTCAGTCTAGTAAACGATTAACGATGTTTTGTATTTATTAACATCGATCGCGTATACATGGCGTGATAGCGCGAAGTACTTTATATACAAGGGCACAATGTGGTACTTAGGTCATTGCACTGACAGTATGATATTGTGAAATTGAGTTAACATACACAGGATCTTTACGGATACAATTTTAGGAGGCAATAGTAATTCCCCAAACAAAACATACTACTTGGAACAGCAAACAAACACAACATGAAGTCACTTGACTTAGTCAACTTTTGTTTTACCAATGTAAAGATAATAAGGAGCTAAAGATATTCAGAGTGAATTTCAAAGTTTTATTATGTGCATTGATAACATCAAACTCTTGTGTTTATTTCGGTTCCCAATTCCCGTCACATTGTAATATAATTTCCATTTTCTGCAGCGTACAATGAACACTTCGGTTTTACAAGCTTAACGTAGAATTGAGAATTTAACTGAAAATTAATGGTACCGGATATCGATTTACGGTCGCAAAGTTACGTCGATCAATCTGCGTTAAGTTTGCTAAAGCGAGATTTACTCTTAAGAATTGAAATCAAAGATTATTAAAGGACTGTATACTATAAGTTTAAGGAATGTAAATATTGTGAAAAAGCCGAGCGATGAACGAGCGAGTAATTAGTTGAACCGGCCGAATCTACCAATGTAAATACGATGTTATTACACCTTTAGTGATAATGAGAAATTGTGATTGAGATGCTAGTGACTGTATGTAATGATTTAAGAGTAAGGAACAATAAAACTATTATATTGCATTTGTATATTGTAGAGGAGTGTAATTTTACTATCCATACCATTTGCTTCCATACCAATATCACAATAAAAATATTTCATAAAATGCTTATGCATTTAGAGACATAAAAAATATATTTCTTAAAGTAAGTATTTCTAAAGACAAAAGTGTACCTATAAGTGTTAGCTTCATTGTGATTCCTCTGCAAACTGAGACTGTGCCACACCTGCAACCTGGAATAAAATTGATTTAAAAATTTAAACAGAGACCTCACAGCTAATGATGAGATTTTTATATACATACACTCTGAATTCTCAACATTTGATCTAAGGTATGTGGCAATAGTGGACGCACGCTATTGATTTCCATGGGAGTTAAATGATCTAATTTTCCATGCAAACCTTCATTTTTTAACAATGCATCCATTGATGTACGAAGCTTAGACATTCTTATATCCCATATGTCCTGGAATTAAAATAGGTATGATAATGAAACCTGAATATTTCATATTCCACACTACCTTTATTGCTGTCCTTATTCCATCGGCATCAGGTATATCATCACTCGCAACACTTAATAAAAGTTGTGCTTCGTCCATGTAGTGATTACTCGGCATTTTCGTGAATAATCTAATAAAAATATATGTTACAGGAAACACAGACGTTCTATTAAAATAAACAAATAAAAAATCGCTCTCTTACCTTGATAATTTTTCATCTTCTTTAACTTCATTCAAAACATCAACGTTCATCCAATCTTGAGCAATAATTCGACATTTCTGTTGTTGTTTCAGATTCACTGCTAACCAAATTGGAACTTTGACAGGTAAACCTGCACGGAAAGGACCTACCGTTCCCGAGATCAAATATATCATATCGAAAGTAAAATTGGGTACAATGGTGACCAACTCCTTTTCACCGAGAAATTCTACTTCACTCGGATCCATCGTTTAGTATTCACGTTGTATTTTAAATAACTTTTAGATGGAAAACTTGGGATATTTTAAACATGACTACTTCGATGACACTCCTCGTGCGAACTGATTTCGGCGGGAAACTTGTACGCATTACTACGATCGAAACGCTACCTGTTGCACAGTGTGTTAACTGTTCGAAGCGCATGTGCAACGCGTATGAAATTTGAAATTAAAAATTTGAAACTTTATTAAAAGCTATTACAGCTATTACAAAACAACAAACAAACAGTATCGAGCATAATAGGCTTCCCTAGGAAAAATAGCGTTACAGGTGAAGCAGAAATTCTCAAAACTTTAATTCTGATAAAGAGATACAGAGAGGGTGTTAACACCCCGGGTGTTATTTGCAGCGACGTAATGGTGCTGCATCACGCGATTAATTATTACAAAAGAGAATAACTTTGTGTAATTGACATCCTAATAAGCATATACAAGAACCGTAGACCCCGGTATCGCATTTGTCGGCAAGTTATACAACTCCGTTACCATTTTCGGTAATACAGTGTCGTATCCTATAATATTAAATATTTCAACGCTGTTAATAATCAAATAAAAGTAAGACGAAAGTTCCAAAGTTAAACAACAAACATAGTAGAGAAGAAATAGAAAAACAACCTACAAACCTCGCAGCCAATTCGCTCGTATTATTTGCTGTATAATTAATAAATGTATCATAGAAATAATGATGCAGTTATTAATTATCCATGAAATAATACTGATTGTCCAGGTCTCACCACAAGGAGGTTGCTGCGGTTTGGAGACCCGCCCTACCTCATCCCATCCACCCTCCATTTATGCAAATTTTTACTTTTATTCAATAACATCATCCTCCTGATGCACATTTGCAAAACGCTTTTCATTGTTGTGCAAACGAACAACAAAAGAAGCATTATTTTTAATCACTACCTACCTATCTACTTATCTATACATATATCTACGTACATTTTTGCTTTTTATTCCTATTGTAACATTTTTTAATTTTGATTTTGATTACAGATCTGTAATTAATAAATATGCAATTGCATATTTGTCCTATATACTTACATTACTAAGAATACCTGGCTATACGAGCGCTCGTAATTATATTAAAAACTCGCTTAAATCTAACGTTTCCTAATTAAACACTGCAGTGTTTAACGATTATATCTTTAAAGTTATTATAACGTCATATATAGTCTATATAAAAATTTAAAGGGATATACATAAATAAGTACAATGAATTTGTTGATTTTGTTGTCCTCACCAGAATGCTTCCTGAAACAAACTGAAAAGGGTTAGACATCATTTTTTAAAATATTAAAATTCATATTTATTAATAACTTTACGACCTGGCTCTATAAAAATATAAAGGAGTATAAACGAATACCTTTAATGAATTTGTTGATTTTATTGTTGTTCTTAGAATATCTCCTGAAACAAAATAAAAAGGATTAAACATAATTTAAGAAAATAATGAGTCTCATGTAGCCTTAATTATAAATTTACAACCCGCCTGAAGCAAACAGAAAAGAATTAAATACAATTTTTGAAAATAATACAGTTCAGATATTACCACTCATAAGAATCATTTTCCCTTTTCAATCATTTTCACCTTGTTTTACTTAATTGGATACACTGAACTCCATTTTTGGAATTCTATTATCCGATATTATTAATTCACACTTCCTATAAAGATATTTCACTGCAACAGAAATTCATTAATCGAATTCATAGAAAGGAAAAAAAATGTAATACCAGAAAAGAAGATACATTAGTAAAAATAAAATTTCACAAAAATCAAAGTAATGGTTAATGAGTCATTTCCAAATAAGCAAACATCAATTAGTCACAAAATATGAATTAAAAGCGAATTTCAGTACCAAAATAAAAGCAGAAAAAGATTTATAAAAAAAATTGTTATTAAGTAAGTGATTTCAGTTAGAAATTTCCAACAACCGAATGCATAAAATTTTCAAAATTAAAAAAGAAAGAAAAAAGGTTGAGGCGGGGCGGGGGAATAGGGGAACCTGAAAAGAAAAGTTTGATTGCCCATAAGAGCAATCCCTAAGCAAATCTTTAATAAATGCAAAAAAGTGAAAAATTTAATACCAATCGCGAATTCATTCGCAACACTAATTTTATTAATTTGTTTAATACAGAAGCGTACGCGTGAAGGCTGCTCCATTATGCGCAACGCTAAGCTGAAAAAAAGAAAAAATGAAAAAACGCGAACTGTATCGCAACACTACTCAAATCTACCGAATTTTGTAAGACGCAACACTAATCTAAAAAAGGGATACAGCCAATCGAAGGCTGTACCACGGCAGCTGATCCATAGTTGCCTTATGGACTATGGCAGCTCCACTGGATATTTTGGGCATTTCATCATTTAGCGCAACACTAATGCAAAACGCGAATATTCATGATCGCAACACTAACTAGCAGGAAACTCTATACACTAATGCAAAGCAATCGGGTATTTATAAGTCTGGGAAACAATCGCGCTAATGTCATTTGCAACGTTATCTTTAACAGACATGCAATTAAAATGCAAAAAAGGGGGATTCTTAAACCGTGAATTTTTTATTCGCAACACTAAAGCAATCAACATTAAAAAGCAAAACTCTATCTTAAAGCAATCAATGTTACAAAGCAAACCTCTAAAAAAATCTTAAAACAATGTAAGAAGGAAATGTTACGTTTAAAGTTAACAACACTAATATATAAATAAAAATCGCGATAAACATGCATACGCAACACTAAATTGAACCGTAATAAATATTCATTCGCAACACTAAATTGAACCGTAGTCAATATTCGCAACACTAAATTGAAAACGCGATTTGCCCAAAATCATGGGGGTCACGGGCCCCCTCTTGTCCTGAAATTACAAAACTACAACTACAAGCGAGCATAGTAACAAAGTAGTAACAATAATGAATTCCCATCCTTTTTTGCAAAAGGATGCAAAATCATTAGTAGTTCCCCTCTTGAAAGACAGTTTGTCGGGGCGCTTCGGCATATAGCCTTTTCTTTCTTCGGGCGGTCCACCCACCTGAAACTTATATCTAAAGCTCGAGACTTGCAAATTCGCAAAACAAAAAAAAAACCAATCAACAAAAAAGAAAGATCACGAAACTCTAATTGACACGTGAACGAAAAAGGACTTTATATAAGTCGTTGTTCGTGTACACGTGCCGTGCTCGAGCAGAACTTGTGCGTTTCGTACCTAACATCGCGATCGCGTATGACGACTTATGAAGTCGCCAAAAATTTGAAAAATTGTACAGATAGATCAAAGGCGAACGGCATACTCCATCCGTATCGATCGTATCGTCAATTCTTCAAATATATTTCAGGTGCAGGTTAATCACGCGAAATCGCGCCTACCCGACCAAGAGACTGTGACAACCTGTCCCGGCCCTACCTACTTACGATCTATCACACACACCAGAAGGTATACTACCTACCTACCTAACCCTATATTTAAAAAAGGCAAAATAACATTCTCACAAAAATTCATTCCACAATTCTCATACACTCCACCCGGGCGCAAGAGCCTACACTAGGGAGAACGTCCCGGGACGCCTCCGTCACCCGAGTTTCATCTCACATCACACTCTACGGTACGTACCATTTTTCACTGAAATCGTCTGGCAAGGCTAGCAATCATTGCGTATAATGATAATAACAAAATTTAATTAACTACTTTGATATAGAATATTTCATAGTAATGGTAATAATCATGGTAATAGAAATGGCAATATAGTAATAGTAATGGTAATAATACTATTTGGTTTGTACGTTCATTGTACATCTTATTGAATAAAATATTATTTCAAATTAAAAGTTAAATGAGTAAGTTATTAAACCGACGCAATCCCACAGCCTAAAAACACACACACCATATGTGGAAATTACGTCGTGCACGATATACTAACACAATGCCAGCCGTTTATTAATTATTATTCTTATGAACTAGGTCATCGTGCCCATTGCCTCTACCCATCCAAGTAGCACCTGGGCACGTGAATGGGCTTTGGCAATAAACACGGAAAGGGTTAAACCTGAAA